ATTTGTTATGATTTCTGTGGCCCATGATTAACAGCCAATCGTCTTTACCCAACCAAATATCCAGGACCCCTGACAAGCGCTTCCCGTTTACTATTTGTTTTAGATATTGAGACAGGTTTGAGCTAATCTGCTTACAAGCATCATCGATTGTTGGGCAACAATCCTTTTTAAGTTTTATCTGGGTTTTTTTTAATTAAAAATGTATGTTAAGAAAAAAGCGTATCGCACGTTCCTCTTGGTTCGTTCTGGCCAGGTATGAACTTAATCACGTGACTTATAATTTACATTGGCAACCCACGGGATATTACTAGATTTGTTGTCAGTCGGACACTCATTAATTCATCAATAGAGGGGAAAAATCGACCGATTTTTTTTTTAAATGGGGAAGGTCAAAGTGCATGTGGAGTATTGGTAAGAATAATGTTGCTTATATTATTTTACTTGTACCTGTACATTTTTTGCAACCAAGTGTTAATTTTAGTTTGGCTACAATTTTTGCACTGTCATGACAGTAGATATATAATCGATTTGTTACATAACTTATCATATTACGTTAAAAAATCTAGGCCACAACTAATAAAGAGTATTGTAATTGAAGTTAAGACAATTTTAATTCTTTTTAAAAAAAGAGCTCATGCCCGATACATATATTGTATCTAGATTTTAAAAAAAACAACTAATGCAGTGTTATTAACTTACACGAGCAGAGTTACCGGGTATTCAGTTTTTCGGAGGGGGGGGGGGGGGGGGCTTTCAAGACTAGTTTTAAAGTAAGGCTTAGGTCAAGTCTAGAATGTATTATCGGCCTATAGCGGCATAGCCCGTAAACCTCCCTAAAATTATGAAATAGGCTTAGATTTTTCTGTTCAGTCCTACTTTTTACTGGTTAACTAATATCTACATTTGAAAAAGGGGATGCCGAGTCTACGCAATTTTTCAAAGTTACATAGAAGACTATAAGTCAATGGATTCAATACCATGTTCTCGTTGATTTTAAAGTAGTCCAACATATAGAATACGGAATAGTAGGCCCTATAGGCCTACATGACTCCAATTGGGATCTCAACTGGAAATTTAAGACCATAGTGGCAGGACATATAGAATCTAGTTCTATTATTATTCACTGTTCAGTTTCCACCATAGACATTTTTGTTTTAAAGGCTGCCGAAGTCAAAAATATTTTTGTTTTGGATGTTCTTTTCAGAATTGAGGGCAATTATTTTCTAGCCCAAACCTCCCGCAGCACAGCAAGGGGATAGCGAGGGATATGATTCAAGCCTGTGACCTTTATGGCCATCGAACGACAGCCCAGAGCATGCACCATACATGACATGGCAACTTTGTTAAAGTGTGTTAGATTCCTCGCAGGATTTGATTCATTCTTCTTATGCTTCCACTCGGATTAATGCATAGCCTAATCAAAAATCGACATCCCGTTAAAATGTTATTTCTTGTGATATATCATCACAAAGCCCTTTACAGCGCAATGCAAAGGATTCCACTGCATGAAAATATGATTTGGAGATATCAGGAAAAAATCTGATGGTGCAATCCCTCTTTTATTTATGTTCCTGGGCGGTACATTTGAAGCATGATTTGAATGACAAATGCACCTGCCAACAATTGCAATGATGCGGGTAGATGAGAAAAATTCCAATGAATGACCAGAACCTTTAGGTTTTATAAATGAATCCCCCCCCCCCCCCCCCCGCTATTTTGTTTGTAAAATGTTTATGATGTTCCTTCAGAGTTGAAGATAATTTACTTCCTACAAACCTCTCGCTGGACAACGGGGGATGGCAGCGTGGTAGGGTATGAACCTGGGACATCCAGAAGTCCGAATGACAGTCCAGCGCGCATATCGCACTACCAGGCAGCCATTTTCCTGCCCAAACCTGTCATCCTCTGCCAACTTTGGTATAAGTTTAGGCAGTAGGCTGAAAATTGTGTATAAAAGACAATGTGCAAAGTATCTGGAGAAAATATTTATATTTTTTTGTGTAGGAATTTAAGTGTAATTACCTCCCTTCCTTTAATAGTTGGCTCGTCTTTTCCTTGAAAGAAAGGCTAGTATATAAGTCTATGGGCTAGATATTTTTTTAAAAAATATTTCCCAGTTTGATTAATAGGTAGAGGAAACTCTTGATATAGGGGTAAACTATAGACATGCGGTTTCCTCTTCATTTGTTTGTGCCACTTATTTTCTGACCATCTACTGCTTTTATTGTGAGGTCTGCTAAATAGGTTTGATCCTCAGTAAAAGTACTCCTCCCAGAAGAAAAAAAAACGTATTTTTTGCTACACTGTCCAATGTTTTGTCATTAAAAATAATGTTTCATGGTAAAATGTTATTAGTGGCGTGAATTCATTAACAGTCTACCATTTTAACAATAATAAATGTATTTAAGTTTACCTTCTTGTTCCTGGGGCATGTAAAGTAGAGGTAATACATCTTACGGGTAACAATGTCAGCACACTACAACCAAGCGCCTTCTTAAGTACCAATATTTGGAGCTGGATAAACCTGCAGAACTCAGCTCAATGCAAAAGTATCATGATTTAAACCCATCTGGATTGAACATTTTTCGTTAAATAGGATGGCTGTCTTGTCATGCCTCATGAGTATACACTTTGGACTGTCCTCAGGTTTGAACCTTGCCTGCTGCCATCTCCATTCCCTGCTGGAGGTATGGGCTAGGATGTAATCATCCTTAATTCTGTAGGAACATCATGTAAAACAAACAAAAACACTTCATGTTTTTTTTTTTCAGCTTTAACTTACCGGTACCAGTAATTATTATTATTTTTTATTTTAAGGCTTCATAGTGATATCTTCAAACTGAAAATATTTAGTAAAAGTTTTTTACATGTTAGCAAACTTGTTCAATCATGAATACAAAAATATTAATTAATTTCTTGCCATTTTTCTTTAGCGGTGCATGAGGATATGAACCTCGGTTCCTGAAATTGCGCAGTGTCATCCTGAATGAAATTTCAGACTCCGAGGTTGATATTGTTGGCCAGGTTGGGCGCCGAAGTAAGTTAAAATATATTTCAATTGATATATTGGATTACTTTGAATGCCATCTCCATTAGTAGATTTTTCAAATCACAAATTTCTTAAATAGTAATAATAATAATCTTTATTATCCAATAGGAAATTTAGTCCTATAATTTGTGCATGACACCAAACAAAAGATTATAATTATAGAAAACAGATTATTTATTTACAACAGAGTCAAATGTGAAATTTTATATCATATAGTTGAATTGTATTTAAATGATTTGATTGCAGGTTGGAACAAAAGATTTTGTGTGCCTATGTGACCTTGTATTAAAATTAATGAAAATTTTGTTATGTTGAATGGGGTGCTCTTTTAGAATCAATCCCCATTATTATGTAACCTGGGGTACTCTTACAAGCAACCTCATTCAATCTGTAACAGCCTGTCTTTGTAATCAGTGTCTTGTATCTCCTTTCTGATGGTAAATTGCCCACATCTTTAAGTTTTAATTAATTAAAGAATTATCTTTGAACAATACTCACTTCTACATATTAGGAAACTTATAAAGACATGGCAGCTGCACTTAAAGTCATGATATGGATTTTTATACTTTCTTTTGAAACATTGCCATCTATAGAGCAGATGTTTTAAAAAGAAAAATTTAAATGTTTCTGTTAGGTCATTCTCAATGATATTCAAACCTTAAGATCTGTTGCTTTTCAATTCTAGGTGAAATGAATATTTACATTTCTAAGTGAAATGAATAATTTAAGATCCTATTTTCTATTCTTTATAAAAAGATATATCATTTGTTTCAATCTTGGTCAACTGGTACTTTAGAAACAGCAGACTTATAAATATCAGATCTTAATAAATTTAAATACTTCTGACATTCTTCAGGGGGAAAAGATTAGCTTAAGGACATTGTTTGCTCCAGATGTTTACATATACACCCCAATAGAAAGATAACAATATGGAAAGCTCCCTAATTTGAAAACCACTGCGCAGTTCATCTCATATATTGGTCTAAGTCATCTGAACGCTCCAACAGTACATCTCATATACTGGACTAGTCATCTGAATGCTCCAACAGTTCATCTCATATATTGGTCTAGTCATCTGGACGCTCCAACAGTTCATCTCATAGATTGGTCTAGTCATCTGAATGCTCCAGCAGTTCATCTCATATATTGATCTAGTCATCTGAATGCTCCAACAGTTCATCTCATATATTGGTCTAGTCATCTGAACGCTCCAACAGTTCATCTCATAGATTGGACTAGTCATCTGAACGCTCCAACATGAAAATGAGAAAGAGGAAGAAGAACTGGGGGGGTTCACTCAATTTGATGTAGTAATAATAACATTCATTTTCTACAGGTTCTTTTGAGATAAAAATCAATGATGTGCTGGTTTTCTCAAAACTTAAGCTGAAAGGCTTTCCCAAAGCTGAAGATGTGAGTATCCTGGTTCTTGCATTTAAATTTGAAATATATATTTTTCTGTTTTAATTTTTTTTCACCAAGGTATATAAGTGCAATTGATTCCGTAGAGTTATTTAGTAATATTTCTACACTTAATTCTGACATCTCTATAGTGGAATTTCATTGACAGAATATGTTTTAACAACAATGCCCAGTTACATGTCATGGTCTAACATTCTTAGAAACACAATGCATGATGCTTGACTTAATGGGTGGGTTAATTATTAGGTATCCACTGAGATTTGGCCAAATCGGTGCAGGGTTAATTATTATACTTCCACTGAGATAATTATTTTAACATAGCTTACTTGTAGCCTGTACAAGTCTGTGTTACTGAATACATTTAATTATTTCAATTTTATTCTTCACTTTCCAGGTTATTGATAGCATCCGTGCAGCCCAGAAAGGAGAAGCTAAAATGATCACAGAGTCCCATTCTGAATGCTCTATTTTGTAATCAGTGTTCTTTTAGTGTTATCTTTCTGTACTTGTTATGTAAGGCAACAATGAAGAAATCTAACAACAATGTAAATTATTTTGTTTTGAACAAGAAAATTGTAAAGACCTCCTGCTATCATTAGTCAGTCTTATTATTCAATACTTGTGTAGCAAGACTGATAGTATTACATCCAAAATGATATAGTGTGCTGATTAAAATATTTTGAAACTATAATTAAAAGGTCAACTATTGAAGCAAATTATTTTTATATATGTACTAAATTGATAAAATATAATAACCAGCCTACTTAAAAGCAGACATTAACAATGACCTCAAAAGACATATAAGTTTATGAATTTTGTAACCAGGAGGCCTATTTAGATTTTTAATGCCAATCTTAAATTTACAAATTCCTATTCAAGATTCTTTTTTTTTTTTTTTTTAAATTATACCTTCTACAAACGTAAATTAGCTCTAGTAAATATCAAGATACTGGTATCATTATAGCCATCAGATTGCCTTTTTTTTTGACAAGAATTGAATTTACTATTAATCCTAACAAAGCAAACACAAAATGTGTTTTGTATGGTTTGAATTAATATACCAACAAGTGGACGATTAAAAAATGTTGGTTTGCATGATATTGTGTTAATCACAACTTTGTCTGACTCGACTTCATGACAATCTAAACTGAACTTTGTGGGTTTAAGATTTGAATTCTTTAGTCTTCTGACAAAGTCCTGATTGTAAAGATATCATCAAGTTATATTTTGTTGTAGAATCCAGTATTTTGGTTTATTGTACACTTGGTTTTCAAATTTGCTAAATCATTTACTGAAATCTTAATGTGTCAAACTTTTTAATTGCTTAGATATATACACACATACAATTTCACTATGAAATAAAAACTATTTTTAAACATTCATTTTCTTTCCTTTTTATTTATACAATCTATTTTGTTTGAATATTTGTGAAGTTGTATGTTAATTTGTCAAATTAACATTGTGTGATACTTTGGCACATACACATTAATCTTTTGTTTCGTAGGAAAAAAAATATCTAAGGAAAGTTTCATATTTCTGGGTATCACTTGGCTGAGTTTGTCTTTTTACCTGCACATAGAAGTTCACAAATGTTTGGGGTGGACTGTTTGTCTTCACACTGTTTGTTGTAAAGTAATATCCTTCTACTGATAACTAGGTACTAGTAAATCACAGACACGCAATTTCTATAGCATTACAAATAAAAAATAACACCACATTCTGAATATTTCTTTATTGACAACTACTTTTTGAGCACAACATTGCAAATGAGTGCATCAAAGCTGAAAAACAAAATCAAAGTAGGGACTACTTTTCAAAATTGAACATTGAAGAATGAAATTCTAGACATGCTTTCTTACTGTACATGTTTTGATATAAATACATAGAATCAAATGCATGAATGAAGGAATATTAAAAACACCAACAAACGTTTCATTCTTTATAAAACAGTTTAATCACATTACTCAACATTCAAAATAAAATCAGTCCAATAAAGAAAGAATGTTTTTAAGGTCAAGAATTTGGTTACAAATGTTAAGAATACAATTAATAAAAGCTTTCTTTCTAGGACATAGAATCTTTTATTTACATAAATAGATAAATATATAAGGACAAGTGACAACAAATACTGTATCTTACATTTGTATACTTTTGTTCCAAACAGTTTCATCCCAAATCTGTCCCGTTGTCTTTATCAGTCAGAATATCAACTAAGTCATAATCCATGGTATCATCATCCAGATCAAGATTAAGACCTTCTGTAGGAGAATTGACTGTGTCTTGAAAAAAAAAAGTATAGGTACTATTATCAATATTTTATATCATGATGATTACTTTTATCACTATTACAGAGTTTAAATATTCATAAATCAACATGAACAGAGAAACCAAACGTTTTATTCACAAACACTTCATTGAAATGTTGATGTGCCTGTTCACCGCTGACATATTAAATGTCATTTAATCATCTGCAGTGATGTCCCCTCCAATGAAGTTTACTTCCCTGTGACTGTGACGTCTGCTACACTCATTCAGTACAGAGAAAATGTTACCAACATTAATACTTTCTACCAAAAGTATGAATGGCGATGATGAGAGATTCAAAGATATAATTAACCTAGATTAATTCTAAGTTAAGGATCAATTCTCTTATTAATAAGATAATCTGGCAACCGAAAGGATGCTTAAGTAATTCTTAAACATCATATTTTTATATTAATAAATTTTAATATCAATAAATTGCGGGTAAAAAAGAAAAGAGATTAAGACACATCATTCAAAACTTGTTCCATGTTCTTTCTTTTAATCAGCAATACAGATTTTTTTCACTTTCAATTGACTAAAACAATGTTTTAAAAGAGTGTGGGTTAAAAAAAACTTTTTAGATATTAATTTTCCGCATATGGTGACATGGATTAGTGAGCTTAAGACAATTATTCTATGGTTCATAAAGTTACATATTAATGTTATGAAAATACTTTTTATTCAATTTGGATAATAAAATATTGCCTAAATCTAGTTCAAATGAGACTTGTCTGCAGTCTGTAATTTATTTTTAAATTCTATTATTCAAAATAAAATTTCCTTTTGGTTTTATAAGCATAAATTTGTATTATCTAAAAAGGGCGTGAATTTCCCATTTAATTTTTTACCAAATATAACCCTTTCTGATAATAAGCAAAAAAGTTATTGCCTTTTTAATCATAACAGGGTAGTGAAATACATATGAGCAAAATGGAACATGGGAAATAATTATGGAGAGAAAAGATTAAGACATTATGATGAAGGTGCTTCCAAATAGTTTATTTCAAAACTTACCCAAGTCCTGCTCTTCATCCTGGTCAACACTGACAATGTCAGGTTCAGCAGGTTCTACCTCACTCACCACACCAGACATTGGAGGATCTTTACCCTGCCCACTGTGCACCTGGCCATCAGCAGGGGTTACATCCCAGGACACAATATCCATGCCAGCAATATGTCCTGTGCTTATGTCCTTGACAAACAATAAAGCAGCATCCACACCAAGCTCCATCTTTTCATCCTCATTTCTCTGCTGTTGCAGGATCAGGTCACTGTCATCATTTCTCTGCTGTTGCAGAATCAGGTCACTGTCATCATTTCTCTGCTGTTGCAGGATCAGGTCACTGTCATCAGAGATATTGGGCAAAACTAAGAGGCTTTGGTCCAATATCAACTGATGACTGATGTCTTCTTGATCAACAGACTCCACCAGATTCATTTCAACAGCTGGAGTAAGGAACTCTTGGTTGGGCATCATCTCGTAGTCAGCTGAGCTTTTCAACTCCAACTCAGGAGGAGATGAATTTGTGGAACTCTGAGCTGAGAGGTTAAAGTCCATGGTATAGTGTGCACTAGGCTGTTCAGTGGAAATGAACATCTCAGGCTGCACATCCTCTCTAACAAGAAGATCAGAGCTGACTTCCAACAATTCATCTTTTTTGTCTACATCCTCATCCGCATATACAGCAATACAGCCTTCTCTAGCTTGATTTAAATCAAAAGATTCAGTACTCTGATCTAATTTGTCATGATCATCAGTATCTGTCATTAGAACATGTGTGTCTTGTGAACAATTAGTAACATTCATCAACTGATCTTTTCTGCACTGATCAACACCACTAACTTCAGATGAGTGATCTTGCTTCTCTTCACCAACATTGGTGCCTTCAAATGACATAACTTCCTCTTGGCCATCACTAATAGATGCAGATAAGAGTTCTGTTTCTTGAGCATTATTCTTAACTTCAGCCAACTGACCGGGTTTTACTTTGTCATCCTTTGTCTCCATAAACTGAAAGGGTTTTTCTTGAATACCTGTACTACCAACTATTCCAATGTGTGAATCTGTTTCTTGACTATCAACAACTTGAGTCAAAGGTTCTTGTTTGTGAAGATCTTCAACACAGGATTCAGTAGGTTGATCTTCACTTATATCAAATAGTTTGGTCAAATGATTTTTTTCTTGACCATCATCCATATCTTCAGTGATCACATCTTGATTTTTCAGACCATCACAAACTAATCCTGTTAGTTTATTTTTTTCTTCATCATCATCAGAAATTTCAATAAATTGGTTTTGACCATCAGAAGTTAACTGATCTTCTTTATCTTGACCATCAGTAATTTCAGTTAACTGATCTTCTTCTTCATCTTGACCATCTGTAATTTCAGTTAACTGATCTTCTTCTTTATCTTGACCATCTGTAATTTCAGTTAACTGATCTTCTTCTTTATCTTGACCATCAGTAATTTCAGTTAACTGATCTTCTTCTTTATCTTGACCATCTGTAATTTCAGTTAACTGATCTTCTTCTTTATCTTGACCATCTGTAATTTCAGTTAACTGATCTTCTTCTTTATCTTGACCATCTGTAATTTCAGTTAAATGATCTTCTTCTTTATCTTGACCATCAGTTATTTCAGTTAACTGATCTTCTTCTTTATCTTGACCATCTGTAATTTCAGTTAACTGATCTTCTTCTTTATCTTGACCATCTGTAATTTCAGTTAACTGATCTTCTTTATCTTGACCATCAGTTATTTCAGTTAACTGATCTTCTTCTTTATCTTGACCATCAGTTATTTCAGTTAACTGATCATCTTGACCACTGCATTTAACTTCAGGTAGATGATCTTTACCTTGGCCATCAGTAATTTCAGTAAACTGATTTTTTACACCGTCACAAGTAAGTTCTATTAGATGACCTTTTTCTTGAACATTAACAACTTCATCTTTTTCTTGACCACCACCAGTAGCTTCAGTTGAGTCATCTTTTTCTTGACCACCACCAGTAGCTTCAGTTGAGTTATCTTTTTCTTGACCACCACCAGTAGCTTCAGTTGAGTTATCTTTTTCTTGACCACCACCAGTAGCTTCAGTTGAGTCATCTTTTTCTTGACCACCACCAGTAGCTTCAGTTGAGTCATCTTTTTCTTGACCACCACCAGTAGCTTCAGTTGAGTTATCTTTTTCTTGACCACCACCAGTAGCTTCAGTTGAGTTATCTTTTTCTTGACCATCAGCAGTAGCTTCAGTTGAGTTATCTTTTTCTTGACCATCATCAATAATTTCATTTACTTGATTTTCATCTTCATTACCACTAATTTCTTTCTTTTCACCTACTTCATCAGTCAAATGAACTTTTTCTTGATTGTTAACAATCCCAGTTCTTTCATTTTGTTTGCCTTTATAATCCTTATTTTCATCCTGTTTGGATCCAGGTATCTTAGTTTGTTCTTGGGTCCTTTCATTTATCTGTGGTTGAGATGAAAACTGTCTCCGATTATTGTGAGCATTACCAACTGAACCCATTTTATGTCCACCAATATTAGGTTGACAAAAGTTATCCACTAATATATCTTCAGCCCAAATGTTTTTCTGGAAACTAACATTGGCAGATGTATTCTCCTTCATTTCAGTATTTTCCATCATTTCAGTGTCTGAATCTTCTGCTGATGAATCACTATCACTAAGAAATCGTTTCCTTATAGTCTGTTCTTCTGATTTTCTTTCTTTTTCTTCCTCTCTGTGCTTTTGCATGAGTAGCTTCTGCTTTTCTTTGGCCAATTTGGCCTTGATTTCTTGTTGGATTCTTTGCTCTAATTCTGAAGGTGTAGCTGCTGCAGCAGAACTCTGTTTGGGTTTATTTTTAGTGGATTTGTTTTTGCTAAGCCTAGCAAGCAATGTATCTAAGCTTGGAGCTTTTTTACCCTCTGGCTCTGCAGGCTCCTCTGGTAATGGAATCTCTTTGGGCAGAGGAATACCACTGAGCTCAGCAAAAGAGGCAGCTAAAGAATCATCTTTCTCAATAATCTCTTTTTTGTGTTTATCAGCTTTTTCACTCTTAGCTTTGTCTTT